ATTAAAATAGTATGTGACATTTTCCAACAAAATTTTGTGTTACTAAAAAATTATGTAGCTGCAAAGTTTGACTTTTTATTTTTTATTTTTCATTTTAGCATTATCTATCTTTTTTAGTAGAATCTTTATAACTACTTTATTGATTGATTTGATTTGACTAAAGTTCTTCGAACTGGACCAGTCGTTGAATCGATCAAGCTATTGGTTCATTGGTTCACTTACTAACCTAGTTGAACCATTATTTATGAATCTTATTTAAATATTATATTATATTTACTACTTGAAATAATAAATAAGTACAAGCAAACAAAAAAAAGTACTAGGCCCAAAAGGTTAAAATTATAATACCAAGTATAACATTAAGTATGAAGCCAAAAAGTTAAAATAATAACACCATACTCAATCCAATAAAATTATTTAGAACTTAAAACTGCAGCATAAAAGAGAAATTCAATGCTACCCCCATGTTCGTATACAAATATATCCACTGAAAATGAGTTTTATTTTTATTAATCAGGGTTAATTTTAAAAAATGTGATATGGTTAGTTGTTAGTGGAACTTTGATTTTATATTAAAATAAAATAATTAAAGTTTATTTGATATAAAAGTATGAGAGATATGATATGAAGTGATGGTTAGTTAATATTATGTGAGTGGATGAATAGTGAATTAAAGTTGATTTGATGTATAAAAGTGATTGGGTAATATTATTTAATTATATTTATAATATTGAAAATAATGTGAATAAATTAAAATTGAATTAGATTTTGAGTATAAATTGAGTGTGGATTGATTTTATTCATAGACAAACGCTAAACCACTGTGTGTCCGCCGCCATGAGAATAGGAAGAAATAATAAGATATTGCCAACCTCTCCATCTCACGCCTCTCTTTTTGGCGTGAACTCTGTCGTCTCTCTTTGGTTGAGCAATTAAGGTTGCTGAATAGAGGTTGTTATTAGATTCTACAAGCAAAGATGATGATGTGATGTGGACAGAGCAACAGAGTTAAACAACAATAGAAATTTTGATTTTTAACATCTTTATGTTATTTCTCGGAATAATTGTCTTGAGTTAGCTCATTTTTCCAATTGTCATACTCTGTGGGAAAAAATGGAAACGGACTGTTTTTGGATAGCCCGCTGAAACCGTCCCCGATTCACCGATTCGGATGGTTCTTCGCTGATTCGCAAGGTATATCACCAGTTTCGAAGTTCGAAGGTGATAGAATGGGATATTACTTTATGCGAAAGAAATCGCTTATCCCAAAGCGTTCATATCGAGTAATCGAGAATTAAATCGAATAACGGAAGCGTACCTGATGGATTCATCTTGATTGATTGGTTATAAACTTGATTGATTGGATATAAACTTGAATTAAATCCCAACTGCCCCTTTTATTTTCACGGCTTTTGGGTTCTTCCTGGTCCAATATTTCTTTGTTTCTGGACTCCATCCATTAATTGTTTTGACCCAAACTATTTGCTATTTAGATCTTTAAGCTTAATATTATTATTCGTTACGTCACTAAATATTAATATTACCGGGTGTCCACATTTAATCATTCGACAATCTAAAGTACAATAATTTGATCACTTAATTTCACAAAACAATATAATGGTTCAATGTATCAATTACACATATTTAATCCCAAAAATAGATCTAACCGTAGGCTCACTACTAATCGGACCAGTGTACCAGTTGCCGATCCAACCGGTCAAAATTGCCACTCTGATTATTAAAGCTGTGTATTTGGCAATCCATTTATTAAAAATACTTTTAACTATATTTTCTTACAATATATAATTTTTTTTTTAAAATCACAAGGAAAAAATATTTTTTAAATATAATTATGTTTACAAGATTACTCAAATTGAACTATAAAAGAATTTATGATAATATTAACTACAATTATAACCATTTAACATAGGTTATAGATATAGATATGATTTTATTTCATTTTGTTGGTATAAATAACATGAGAATAGTATTTTATTTTTTGTCACAACACAATCCCTTTATTATATTTAATACTTTATCAATAATATATTATAATTTAATTAATATGTATAACATTTTGATTCGGTACTCACACATGTTGATATTTGAATTATCTAGTCAAATTCAGATTTTATAATTAGCTTTAATTTTTTACAAATATTACATTTGTTAATTTAAAGATATACATAAAAAGTAATATCAAATACTTTGCATTTGTATTCTATAATTCGAAATCTTCATATGTGGTAGTTGTTAAATATGTGATCATTTGTTATAAATATTTATTACATTAATCATTTTTATATAGGAATAAATAAATAGTTTGGATCAATTGGGTTGACTGAACTGAGTAGCTATTCGAGTTAACAAAATAATTGTAGGGTCATTAGTAAAGTACTACAAAAACAAAAGATATGATACAACTTGGGCTGATTCCGTGTGGCCATATTATGGGCCAAATTGGATATACCAACTCAATTATTGAAACTAATTATAAATTTCAGTATTAAGAATATTTTATTGCAATAAGTATAATATAGTCCAAATAATTTCCAATCAATAATCAAAGACGGATCTGTACTTGGCCGGCCCAGGGAGGCACGTGGGCCCCTCTGATTTTTTTTTTTCAATCAATATATATATATATATATGTAAAGAAAATACTATAAAATATGTATAGAAATGTGAAAAACAATTACAATATACTAATGATTAAATTTTTTTTATGATATTTTAATTTAAATTAATAATATTATTTATTTATTAAAAAATTTACTAATAATCCTTATATTTTATATTTCTAGAATTTTTCAAAATATTTATAATGATTTACTCTTTCAGTCTTTTAATTGTAAATTGATTTAGTGGTTTATAAAACACAGTATTAGTTGGATTGTTACGTTTTTTTAATGTTAATTTTTTTTACTTTATTTTTTTCTGTGTAATCACATATTTTTAAATATATTTATTTTCTTTTTAAAAAAATATTCATTTGATAAGCTTTCATAAAAATGCTATGCAATGTTCTGTAAAAGTTCATTTTAAATCATTTTTTCAACGAAGAAACATATTTTTCCATAAACTATATGTTGAACTAAATTATAAATACATGAAATCTCTTTTTTTTTTTTAAAAAAAAAGTTTGAGGGTGATACGGATTATAAGTTTTTAAAAACTTGATGGTACATATATCCATATTTATATTTATAGTAAATATATGTTTATATGAAATGAGCGTTTCAACTTGAAACTACAAGTTCGTTATAACATTTAAATTAGACCCCCTAAATGAAATTTCTAAATCGTCAACTAAGCCAAGCATTTTTCAAGAGTCAATGATGGGAACAACTCGTTGTTGATCAGCCCACCCGGATCTCTGTTCTATGAGCAAAGACGAGTTCCCTACCACCTTCACTGATTCAAATCTATTGTGGAAAGCATTGGAGGATAAATTTTTGAAGAAAAAAGGCTTCCCTAATCAGTAATCAGATAACTCACGAATCGTTTAATCAGATTGCACATTCGATAAATTCTTTATTGCTAAAAAAAATGAAGGATCGGCTGATCAAACAAATACTATCAATAATGCTTTTATGAAACTGTATAAATATTTATATATATTTATTTATATTTATGTAAATAAAATGACAGTATATAGATTTTTTTTAATAATGTACGAACAAACCGTAACTCATCCCCTCTATATATAATTTCAGAATGTGCTGAGCCTACGTGGCAAACTCTCATGCTTCGGAATCCTATTTAGCAAAAAAATCATTCTTTGGAGTTAGGCTTAGATATAAATTAATATTTTTTATCACACTAAATCTATTAGTTTTTATAAATATTTCTTCTTCTTATTTTAAGATTTTATAACTTTTTTGTTTGTATTTTATTTTTCATATATGATATATCAAATTAACCATCTTTTAACGATTTTCGATTTGACATCCATATTATATATATATATATATATATATATATATAATACAAAACAGTAATATATATCTTTATAAATAAAATTTAAATATATTTATCAAACTAAATTAAATTATATCAAATAAAACTATGAATTATATTATAAAATAATAAAAATTGGTATGTATTCTTTTAAAAATGATATTTACTTCAAATCTAATTGGTATGTTGTCAATCTAATAAAAATAAATAATTATTTATATAAATTCTAAAATTACATATAAAGTTAAAAAACTGTGAAGCACGACTGATACGACACTTGATGTATTAGTCATCTAATTAAGTAACAAAATTAATCTATTTTTCTTAATATTAAATAATCATATTCTACACGTATGCATATACATATCACCATATTATTTCTATTTATTTAAGATATATATTTTTTTCATTATGTAATAGTAAATAATATCAATATTTTTATATGATATAAGTAAGAAAATTCAACACGAGTTGACATTTACATTTAATGTACGGGTGTTTAATTATTATGATTAAAAAATATAATCTGACAATTTAATTAAAACACAAAGTAATGTTTTATATAAAATATAATTATTTAAGTTTTTAAAAAAATAAAAAATTAATAGGTGTTTAATTATTATGATTGAAAAAATATAATTTGACAATTTAATTAAAATCCAAAGTAATATTTTATATATAATTATATTATTTAAGTTTTTAAAAAAAAATATTAAAAAAAATTATATTTTTTACAAAAGCTTTCTAGTTCAACACCCGTGTAATACACGGGTATTGTACTAGTATATATTATACATGTTTCCTACGGGGCCAGGTACTAGTTTCGAATAATTATAAAATATCAAATGAAAAGGTTTTAAGGCTTGCATAATTATATTATTTCTTTTGGGAAGGCTGAAGAGCTATTTTGAGTGGCTGAAACGAACTTTGACCGGGTTAACCAAGCCCAACCCGGCAACCAATACGGAACCGGTTACGGTCCGCGTTTCAAGGGGCATAGTTACAGCCCGCAGCAACAAATTAGTAGTGTATATATGTATTTAAATAAAAAGGAAGACGAAAATCACCTTAACTCCGTTCCTGTGCGCAGCATTGGTCCAGCTCGGCGGCGGCAAAGTGACCAGATTATGCGAGAAGTAGATAAAAACATCGATCAGATACCAATGCCAGATGGCATACGCCTCCGCATTCGCTCCGCCCTGCACGAACCTGTCGTCCCCGTACCCTCCCTGCATGTCGTGGCACACCAGAGTCCGCGGCCGCCGGGGCAGACCTCCGCCCGCCGGAATCTTCGCCGCCGCCTGGTTAAAGGGAAAATGGAATGAATTGAAGTAGGCACGGGACTCCAGCTCCGCGAGGGTTTTCAGCGGGTAGGATATCGGAACCGCCGGGGCCAAGGGATCGAATGACAGCCTATCGGCGGCTGTGTTTCCTTGCTCCATGGAGGACCGTCTGTTCGAGGCGGCGGAGATGGGGAATTTATAGAGGTAAGGAGAGAGATTCGGGGGATGGGAAAGGTCGAAGAATTCATGCCTTTTTCTCCCGAAATTGGATTGCTGCAATTAAGATTTCTGGATTGTTTTATGGTATTCGGGCAATGAAATTGATGGGTGGTAATAACTTGTAACTTTCTGGAAAATTTGATTTATGTGAATTGTAGAGATTACAAAATCTCGCCAAAATCGAAAAAATCATGCCTTTTTCTCCCGAAATTGGATTACTGCAATTTAGATTTCTGGATTGTTTTGTTGTATTCGGGCAATGAAATTCATGGGCGATAATAACTTATAACTTTCTGGAAAATTTGATTTATGTGAATTGTAGAGATTACAAAATCTCGCTAAAGAGTAAAAGAAATGCTGTCAAATCTACTAGTGCGCACGTGTAGACAATATTAGACAATATTAAATAGTAATTATAAATAATATTAAAAATTATAATTTTATATTAAAGAAGTGTGGTTAACATGTGAAATTTATAATATAAAATTTATATTTATATACAATAAGAATAATGATTTATTAAAAAAAAGTAAAAAAATTTGGAAGCATTTAATGCATATCTTTTTGTGGAAACTTATTAAATATATGTATTAATTGATTCCGTATATACGTTTTCAAATAAGATCATACCATATAATAAAATTATTATTTCCTAAATAATTTTATTAATATCTGCAACAATTTCATTGATATCCATTATAATAAAATTACAAGATTCATCTTTCGTAATTCATGTTGATAATATTTTGGTCAAGAAAAAATATTACAACATATTTTAAGTTCTAATCATAATATTAATTTTTTTCCACAAATATTTACTTTTCATCCAAAAATATTTATAGAAAATCTTAACAGGTTAGGTAGAATTTTGTTTTCAATTAATCAAGCGAAATCAAGTTGATAAATTAATCTTTGTCAATATAATTTTTTCTTAAGCTTTATTTTGTTATATATAAAAAATAAATTATTCTTCAAATTAATATAATTTACCATTTAAGAGATAGTGACCAGATACCTTAAATAGTTTTATTAATCGTCAAAAGTTAAATTGAAATATATTAATTGTTCTTTAGAATTTATTTGTAGATTATTGGTAACCATTATTATTTTTTTATTATTTTTTTTATTTTTATTTCTTTCTATAATAAAATTATTGTAAATATATTTTCATTGCAGAGTATGCTAAAGAAACTATAAATCTTTATAATGCATTTTAGAAAACCCTTGATTATAGAATGGATTGAATTTTTGGCATTTGCTAAATCAAAGTTGTTTAATTAGTATACAAAATTAAACTCTAAAAAAACATGTGTTTATATTATGTAAAATATTTATACACTATTTAATTTTAAATTTATTTACATATTTTAAATTGAAAAATAAGGCGTATCACCATTTGCTGATATCGGCTCGTGCGCTGTTGAACGTGCATTAAATAATTTTCATTACATAAAATAAAAAGAACAAGAAGACGTACAACTTTTATAACTTTTATAAATAATAATGACATTATATGACAACAAAGATTATAATAAAATAATAATTAACTATTGTATGGTGATCAAGAATAAGTAAAACTGTTATCTTCTCTTACATCAAGAAATAAATATATATAATAAAATTAAATTTATATTAGTATAAATGTGTTAGTGAGATAATATATTAATTATTTTACAAGTTAGTCATAACATGCTCATATTTAATATTCTGGCTAAAAAAACAACACTGATTAAAAGAGGTAGAAAATAGATTATAACCCTATTGTTTTTAGAGTTAACTTTGATTAAAAGACGTGGAAAATAGATGATAATTCTATTGTTTTTTTAGACTTAAAATAGCCTGTGAAAATAGTTCATTTAATATCTTTGTCCCGTGCATCGCACAGGATACGTACTAGTTATCTTGTCTAAGATAACATAAAATATGTATATTTAAAATATTAAAAACACCTAAAATATTTATAACATATGTAAGATTATCTAAAATATCATATATTATTCTTAAAAAATGTGAATTCACCTAAAATTTTTCTCAACTATTCTGTAACCAAAAATGGCTAAGGACATTAAACTTTAACATATATATAAAGATATAACTCAATCTATAGAATGCCTTATGAATTTGCTCAAACAACATGTTTAAAAGTATATAAAATATTAGTAATTGCACGCTACTCTAGATGAGTCCAAAATAAGAACAATTCTTTACCTTTTAAAATTAATGAATAGAGAAGTCCAAAATAAGAACAATTCTTTACCTTTTAAAATTAATGAATTTGAAATGATTTCAAATTTGAAATCAAATATGAATCTCCAGAAAATTTAAACCAAATAAGTCAAAAGTTTGAAAAAAGTGTGATGTTTAAAATACCATATAAGTAGAGATTGTTTAATTTCAAATTGAACCAAACCCTTCATTTTAGGAAGTTATTTTTTATTTCGATTTGAACCAAATCATTCATTTTAGGAAGTTTGTATATAAAAAACATGTGCATTGGTATTTTTAAATTTTGAAATGCATATACACCGGATTTTAAAGTCGATATATTAAAATTTTAAGTTGAACAAAATCCTTAATTTGAGGAGTTGTTGAAAAATCCATCCAAAATGGTTGAAAAATCGATCCAAAATTTTGGAAAACATTTAAACTTCAAAAAAGTGTGTATATATATTTTTGAATTTTGAAATGCATATAATTGGATATACACCAAATTTGACAAGTCGAATAAAATCCTTAATTTAAGGAATGGTTGGAAAATCCATCTAGACTGGTTGGGATAATCGGTCCAAAATTTTTGGAAAATATTTACAACAACAATTTTTGAATTTGAGTTGAAAAATACCCAATTTTGATGGGAACATTAAACGCTGCCCGATTTTGTTGTAAAAAGAAAATACAAAATAAAAAAAATCCTGAATTAGCATGCATTTAAGTTTGCCAGAAATTTTTGCTTACTTTTTCTTGTAAATGGTTATTCTCTTTATATATATACTAGTACATAGCCCGTGCAATGAATTAAATGAGTCATTTCCACAGAGCTTGTCCGTTAAGTAGCTCGTGCGATTCACGGGAGATATTAAATGAGTGGACCATAGGGCTTGTCCGTTCACTCCTTAAAAATAATAGAGTTTGATCATCTATCTTTTTACATCTTTTCATCAACGTCATTTTTTTTTTGTCGGAACATTAAACCTGAGTCGGCTAGTCCGTAAATTAATTAATATATTATCTCTCTCATATGTTTATAATAATATAAATTTGATTTCATTATATATATTTATTCCTTGATATAAGAAAAATAACAATTTTACGTAATATTGTTCCTCGTACAATACTCATATTATTTTATTATAAAATTTATTGTAATATAATGTCATTATTATTATTATTTATACAAGTTATAGATGTAGTCTTCTTCTTTTTTTTTTTGTTTTATGTAACTAAAATATTTAATGCATGTTCATATTATTTATTAATGTACTTAATTTAAATTATGTAAATAAATTTAAAGTAAAATATTTTGTACAAACATTTTACAAAATATACACAAATATTTTTTAAGAATTAATTTTTTTATAATAAATAAACATCTTTGAAATTCTATGCAATTATTAAACATCCTTGATATAAATTCGAAATCATAATTGAATTCTATGCAATTATTATTTCCGTCCGATGTTATGGGAAACAAATCATTCGGAAATGTAACAAAATGATAAAAAATTTTAAAATTTAAATTTTAAATGAGACATGTTTTTACTTGAATTCTATGCAATTATTATTTTGTCCGATTTTATGGCAAACAATTCCTTCAGGATTTTAATGTAACAAAATGGTAAGAAATTTTAATATTTAATTTTAAATTTAAAATGAGACATGTTTTTACTTGAAGTCTATATGTCCGATTTTATTGCAAAACACATCAATTAAGGATGATTTATTGCAAACCGGTTTTTTAGCAATAAAATAATAATAATACAATTGAAAAAATTGATGGAAATAGAATTCATTAATTGTCCTTTGACTTTTCTTACTACTATTTTTAGTAAATAGGATGACTCTTTATATATATATATATATATATATATATATATATATATATGTATATATATATATATAGGGATTGGTTCCAATGTATCCACTTATTTAAAGTGAGGACGTGAGACTCATTTTTAGCCACAAGATTTGGTCATCATGTGTGACCAAGATTTACTCTTTTCTTTTTATTATTTTAATTATTTAAATATTATTTTGACCTGTGACTCCGGCGTTGACCGTTGACTTCCGGCAAAATCCGTTGGCTTCCGGCGTTGACCGTTGACTTCCAGCGTTGACTATTGACAACTAACCTTCCAACTAGGTTAGTTCTATGTAGTTGCTAGGCTAGTTCTCTGTAGTTGCTAGGTTAGTATTTGCTAGGTTAGTTCTATGTAGTTGCTAGGCTAGTTCTCTGTAGTTGCTAGGTTAGTTATTAGTTCTTGCTAGGTTAATTGTATTTAGTTGCTAGGTTAGTTGTGTCTAGTTGCTAGGTTAGTTGTCTGATGTTGCTAGGTTAGTTATGTCTAGTTATTAGGTCAGTTGTCTGTTGTTGCTAGGTTATTTCTATCTTGTTGCTAGGTTAGTTATGTCTAGTTGCTAGGTTAGTTGTCTGTTGTTGCTAGGTTAGTTCTATCATGTTGCTAAGTTAGTTCTAAGTAGTTGCTAGGTTAGTTGTCTCTTGTTGCTAGGTTAGTTTTCTGTTGTTGCTAGGTTTTTTTTTTTTTTTTAAACAAACAACGCCCCGGAAGGGCGGGGGATTGGGCTGGATCCCCAACCTGTGCATAGATCAGGCCCCAAAATCGGGGGCCCAAAATATCAACGAGCAAGATACAATAGTCTACAGAGACGATCTTCGGGCTAACAGATGCCCGAAATAAATGTCTATACTAATGAAAGCAAAA